AAATGAATTCAAAGATATTTATAAGTGGAGACGAGGTCAACAGTATTATTATTTAACACATAGGAGGTAGGAATCCGGGGTACGTGATTAGTAAAAGACATAGACTTTGTTTTACAGCAATTTAGGGTCATTAGCCAGGAAGAGCACCATGCATTAATAGCATTTAGATCAGTTTGCAAAGCTTTCTGGTCATTGACAGAGGAAATTATTCGGTAAATTACACAATCGTCAGCAAAAATTCTAATTCGGGATGAGACAGAGGATGGCAAGTCATTAATGTAGACTAGAAACAGTAGTGGACCTAGTACGCTACCCTGTGGGACTCCCGAGGTTATTGGTTTGAAGGAAGAGTTACAATTGTTAGCGGACGTGAACTGTTTTCTAGACGAAAGGAAATCTTTTACCCATGCCAAAACGTTAGGGTGAATGTTAAGCCTGGACAGTTTGGTTAGAAGCCGGTGATGAGGGACACGGTCAAAAGCTTGAGAAAAGTCGAGGAAAACAGCATCAACCTGGGATCCACCGTCAAGAGCTGAATGTATGTCATGAATGAAGCCGGCGAGCTGCGTGTCACATGAGTATCCTCGGCGAAAACCATGCTGATATTTATGTATGATGTTATGATCTTCCAGGTAGTTAATTACTTGTGTGTGTATTATATGTTCAAGAAGTTTACAAATGGTACTGGTTAACGAGATGGGACGATAGTTTAATGGCGATGAGCGTTCACCAGACTTGAAGATGGGAATTACCTTTGCGATTTGCCAGTCATGTGGGATGCAACCTAACGATAACATTTGTGAAAAAAGGGCTGACAGTATGGGACAGATGCTAGCTGATATATTCTTTAGTATCTTATTATTAAAGCCGACATGATCAGAAGCAGTAGAAATTTTGAGTTTATTTAGTAAGGAGCACATACCCGCTTCAGTTATTATTATTTCTGGCATGCTGATATCAGGAATGAGGCTAACTTTCGGGCATGACGAGATGTCTTCACATGTGAATACTGATATGAATGCGTCGTTAAAAACCTGTGCGCACTGAGACATGGGAATGACGTCATTATTACTGGCGGTAAGGACGATATCAGGATGCTCAACAGGATTAATGACACGCCAAAATTTCCGAGGGTTATTTAGTAGCATAGATGATAAATCATGTTTGAAGAAATGACGTCTATTTGTTGTAAGCAGTGACTGATATTCCTTATCACATGTTTTATAGCGCAACCAGGAAACTGAAAGGGGGTCTGTTTTATTGGCGTGGCGGTAAAGTCTCTTCTTTCTGTTATTGAGGCGTCGAAGCTGTTGGTTATACCACGGAGCGGTGTTTAGTTTCGATGGTGATAAGAGGAATGAACCTGTTGATTAAATTGGTAAGTACATTTCTAAACATGAGCCAATTATCTTCCACGGACCGGGATAAATACCCTTCCAAAAATTTATTTGAGAATGACAGGAATTCATTGTTAATGCTATCGTAATCACCTCTATTATAGCACCTTATTTGCTTGTTAGTAGTTTTGCGCTTGTTAGGGAAAATCCGGACGCTTCCAGTAAGGACGTCGTGGTCAGAAAGCCCGTCAAGATGAGTAATTTCAGAAAATATATCAGGGTTGTTGGTAAATACTAGGTCTAGAATATTAGCTGGTGTGGCCGACCGCCGTGTGGGGTGAGTAATTAGCTGAACCAGGAATAAGTCGAGAGAAGAGTGGACAAAATTATGTGATTCACTATGGCCATCCCTAACGGATAGAGTTGACCGGCAAATGCTCGGAAAATTAAAATCGCCAAAAATTATTAAGAGAGAATTAGGAAAACGAGGACACAGTAGCGTCAGGACACGGGTAAATTCACTAGAAAAGTCAGTATTTGCCTCTGGTGGGCGGTAAAAAACACCTACAAGTATGACACGGCCACCACACTTCAGGGAAGCCCATACACATTCCAAAGAAGAGTTAACTAGCACAGGTACCGCAAGCACATCATTTTTTATCGCCAGAAGTACGCCACCTCCCCTTCTATGTTTCCTGTCACAACGAAAAAAATTGTAATCTGCCCACGTGAGAAAAATACTGCTATCAGGAATGACATCGCTTAATGCGACGATTGTTGGTGTACAGAAATCAACGAGGGAAGACAACGGAATGCTTTTTGACTGAACGCTTCTAATGTTCGTGTACAAAAAACGAACACCACCAGAACTGCTTTGTTGCGATGTTAACGATTGATTAAGTGTTGAACAGGGGGTAGGGTCGGGCTGCAGTCAAACCGTAGCGGAAGATGATTCAGATAACGCAGCGTGATTAGTAATGGGTGAGGCTTTATTTGAATTGGTGTCCCTTATAGGGTGCCTTCATGTGCGCTTCGCATAGGGTGATGCCAACTGCCCGTTTCCCTTTCCCAGACCCTCCCCCGGCGCCATTTTGGTTCTCCATTGTTTCGCCGTGCGCTGGAAAGTGGCCTTTGTGTCCATCGGTCCTCCCATCCGAGGGGGGAAAACGCTAATCCTCCCTCCGTGGGTTCCACAACGCTGCTCCGAACTTGTGAGATAAGGTGCTTGTTTCCGGGAGGGTTATAAGCCCCACGGATTATCGCCGAGAGCCAAGATGGCTGCTGGTCTGTCGGCGAGTGGTATTACAAAGGATGGCATCACCCTAGCAAAGCGCACATGCAGGCTCCCTAGTCCCATACATAAACATCGGGCGGCGGAGAAAAGCTCACCGGAGAAAAGCTCACCGGAGATAAGCTCACCGGAGAAAAGCTCACCGCAAAACTGGCAGATGCGGAGAAAAGCTCACCGATTTTTTTTTGTTTTTACTTAGCGGATTTTGCGTTAAACGTGGCATTTAACACAATTCGCATTCGCCACTTCATTAAAAAAAAAAAAGTCCTCTTTCTTGTAATATTCTTGAAGGTCATTTGGCATATTTACCAATTCCTCAGAAATTAGTAATCACCCATTCTGTATATTAATGAAGCCGGAAAAATGATATCAGAACATCGTACGCCGGTAAAAAAAAAAGACTACAATTTATTGACAATTGAGGGTGTGCCGTCGGTAGCTCTGTCAAATAAAGAGGTTTGTTCTTTGTGAGCTAATATGAATAGCGGTGTGGTGAACCGTTTCAGCTCCAAATATTCTGTAGTGCCTAATGGTTAAATAGGCATTTGTTGATGCAATCAGTGTCGGCTATACTGTTTTCTTTCTGTTAATTTCACTAAAAAAACTTTGGTTGCAAGAACAGCTTCGTCCTGTCGTGTTTGTTGTCTTCACTCCGTCGTCGTCGTTTGAGCGGTTTTCATAATGTATAACGTTTACCAGCTCGCCCTATTCGCTACCTTACAGAAGACTATTTTTTATATAGGTCACCAGTAACAGCGGTGCCAGTGTGCAGCTCTGAAAGTCATGAGTGGCTCACCTTAGAAGGGCACTTTCACACAAAGGCAACGTGCGGAAACACAAGCACGAACGGCTAGAAAACGTTCATGTCCGTGGAAGAAAGAAGCCTCAATATCCTACTGACTGTTTTTTCCTGTTTTCAAAGGTTAATATAAGCTTCAAAGAGAATTTCAGGCATCTTGTTGTTGCGCATGCACTTTCGGATTTTCGGTTTTTACAGTTTTTATTTTTAGGTTTTAGGGAGACATAAGTTTTCGAACTTTTTTATGTTATTCAAGTTCATTAAATTTTCAGTTAGGCTTGAGTTGCCCAGAGAGTAAGCCGCAGAAAACACTGGCCCGCCATTATTAATTTGGGAGCAATATACTTAATAAGCTTGGCAAATAATACAAAAAAGGACATTTTCTTATTGACAAAGCTGACGAACTTTAGTGATAATAAATTGATATATGTTACGCATGATCCAACAGCCTCCACATAAAAAGAAAAAAGAAATCGGTGAGCTTTTCTCCGCATCCGCCGGCTTTACGGTGAGCTTATCTCCGGTGAGCTTTTCTCCGGTGAGCTTTTCTCCGGGATTCATAAACATCATCATTGATGTGAAGCCTGTCAAAAACGAGCCTCACACGGTCACTTTCCTTTTTTATTGATTTCGAAAACTGCAGCAAGTTTTCGATGCGAAATTTGATGGCGAAATCACGCCATCAAATTAGCTTTTTTTTCAACAAGTAAAAATGATCACCACTCAAACAATAGTTGTCTGGCACAGGGGTGGACACAAGTATTTCCAGCATATATGTTTAACTACCCGTTTCCCTGCCCTAAATTTTCACAGATGCAGAATTAAAGAGGAAGGTCAGGACATTCACACTCCCTCTGAATCCACTACTGGTGCTGCATTCTGTTTCTCTTTGGAAATGAACAAAAAAAAAAAAAAACTAATAATAATAATATTTTTGCTACGGACAGGAGTTGGTACAAAATGTGAGATTTTTTGCGACTTAAACGGAAAAATACATTGTGATTTTCGGTTCCAGCAAAATAATAGGGGATGTGGAATATATGCGGTGAAAAGTAGCGTAATATATAAACGCTACTGTTCTTAATTTTCCTGTTTCCAGTTAAGCCTCGGGGAACTCAGCAGTCAGCCGAATGACAGAAAAACTTTAAGTCTTTGAAAGCTTTGCCAGACACTTCGCATCATAAAAACCTTCTGTTCGTGACAAAAACACTTACGCATTCATAGTTAGACCAGCTGAAACATTGCAATTCCTACATCCTGAAGTGCGTAGCCCAAAATAAGCCCATTGTTTTTGCTCCACACAATTTATGAACGGTTCTCAGTGTTACTCTTTTAATATAGAAAACAACCTGATAAAAATAAATAGTTTCTTTATTACTGTCCTCAATTCTTTTTTCTTCAAATGTGAATATAAACCAGTTTGAACTAGTATAATCCGCTATTTCAGGCCTGGTTCAGCTACTCAGAAGCTGAACCAGACACGAACCATTTTTCTTGAACAAACAACGTTTGGATTGAACAGCCCAGCATTTCACTGCCAAAGCCAGCGTTGCAGAAAACAAACCAACAAAAAAATTCAGAGGCAGCCTTTATTCTGAACTACCACAATCGACAGTCCCATCTGTCCCGCCTTTCTCCAGTTTGCTTCGCTTTGTGGGCGGAGAACCAACGTCCCCAAGCAACACCTCTGGGGGAACGTCGAAAGTCACCCTCATCATGTCCTTGTTGGGGGCCACACTCCTCACAAACTTCACCTCCGCATCACTACCAATCGGCGCACCCAGGCCCTCCTCCACCTTCTTCCTCGCTTCACCAAACCGGTCCTCCTCCTTTACGAAACAGTAGCAATGAACCCTGACCACTGGTTTACCCCGTTCCAGCAGCTCCTCAGAGCTGCTCTTTGACGGTTCCTCGGCCAATGGATTCTTGACCGATCCAGCCGAGTCATTGGCTGACAGATCCCTCAATGGGTCGTTGGCCGATCCTGTAGAGTGATCCGCCGACGGATCCTTGACCGATCCAGCCGAATCATTGGCTGACAGATCCCTCAACGGGTCTTTAGATGATCCTGTAAAGTGATCCGCCGACGGATCCTTGACCGATCTCACTGAGCAATCGGCCGACGTTCCCGCCGAGCAATTTGCCAAAGAATCCTTTGGTAAATCCTTCGACGCCGTGTCTTCAGACGAATCTGGAGAAACCGGTTCATTCTCAAGCAGGCCAATGAAAGCGTCCAAGAACTCGGTCGCGAGCGACGGTAGGTTCATGCAGACGTGAACCCTCGCTCCCTTCTTTGCATGCTCCCTCAGGTTACAGCTGAGCACGGTGCGGATGAACTTCCTCCCGTCCAGGTTGTAGGTGCTGACCCGACCCGAGACCTTGTTCAGCTCCACGTTGCGCTTGAGCCACAGGAAGGAGTGGGGGTTGAGGTCGTTGGCGAAGACGACGCAGCCCTTGTGGGCGGCTGGCACGGCAAACGGACCGACTCCTGCAAACACGTCGTACAGGATATCGCCGCGGTTGAGGAGTGACACGACCCTCGAGTGCTCCGTGGACAGCCGCGGATTCCAGTACACCTCTGCAAAGTCAAACTGGAACCTGCAATGACGTAGCAAGAAGGCTTATGGCTGGTTCAGACACCCACACCTGCTTACGACACCTTAAACCTCTTGGGGTCTCTTACGAAACACGCTGGCACCATCTATCAGATGTAACAGTAAGAAAGCACAAAACAAATAGAGGGACGAAAACAGACATGTACAAGCTTTGAAAGCTTCACATGTATGTTTGAAAACAGACATGAAAGCTTGTACATGTCTGTTTTCGTCCCTCTGTTTGTTTTGTGCTTTCTTACTGTTACATCTGTCCCAACACGCTTGTCAAAGTCTTCATCGATCAGAACTTGACATTCCCATCCTTTTCAAAATATCTTTCTTTCTTTCCTGGCACAGAAAAAATAAAGACACAAAAACAACAATTTTTTGAGGATCTACATTCTACCTTGCAAATATTGCAGTTCCAGGGTCATCTCACAGAAGGCACCTACGTGCTCTCTCGTCCTAAGAGATCACAGCAACTCCGTCGTAAGCATAAGCGTGTGAGAACGGGAGTTTAGTCAGAGATGCCAATAAAGGAACCGTGAAGCAATTTGATCACTTTGGCTATAGAGTGTTGAAAATAAACACCGTACACTCATAAAGCATAGAGCTGTAATCAACTGCTCTATGCTCATGCTTGATTAAAAAAAAAAAAAAAGAAGGAATATAGGAGTTTTAGATTTTCTATACTTTTCGACTTACGGGGAGTGTTCTGCAGAACCAAATGGTCCTGCACCTTAACCCTTCACTTCTGCCATGTCGCCACCCTTCGCTGCGCAGTATTCCACGCCCCGTTTCTATCGGACTGGTTCCGATAGAAACGGGACAGATGTACATTTTTATCATTCTGCAGGGGTTGTAAGTCACTTAGTTTCCTCCTCTCTCGAACAGCGACGGGCGGGGGGAGGGAGAAGGAGGGGAACGTTGTCTCTGCGATCTTTCTTCGGAAGGGCGGACGCAGAAGAAAGATGGCGCGGAAAGATAATCCTAATCCTTTCAAAGAGTGACCTCGGCAGTCAAAATGAGAGCCCTTCGACCGATTTACGCACTCCCTGACCCGCGACAGCTCCGTCTCAAGTGCGCTCCGGGTGCGGTGGACGTTGCGAGCAATCCCAGCCAATCCAGCGCCAGGAGCGTGTCACACGACCATCAGGTTGGGCGGAGAGTTGGGACAGGCACGCAGAGCTCAAGGTCACATGGCACTCTTGCCGGCGCTGGATTGGCTGGGATGGCTTGTATCGTCCCGCTGTGCTCGGGCTGATAGTGAAACGGGAAAGGTGACCAGGTGATCATGCTCTATGTGCGAACCGCACGCAGTAAGTAGGGTCACACAACAAAAGACCGCAAATTGATTGGCTGCCATAGACGCGATCTCTAACGCCCTGTCCTTCTTTTTTTTCCTTTGGAAGAGCTCGAAGGTCACGAAAGTGAATGTAAATACCTGGTAGTTTGCACACAAACAAACAATCTTGTGACATATCACTACCAATTATTTTTGTTAGCTATTTACAGTCCCAGTGCACAACACCCATTCTTTAGTTTGATTATTTGAGGGAAAATTATGAGGTAGTTATTCAAAGCCTGTTTAATAAATTTGATGTTTTTTCGTAAAGCTTTTTTCAGCATATTTTGTTTTCTTGTTTTAGTCTTTGAGCTCATACAGTGATTCGCTATGTTTTTTTAACTTCTGAATATGAGGATGTAAACGGTCACGGGAATAAAAAGACAGAAATAAAGCCTACAATTTTCGGTACATCCTAATTAGTCCAGACAACTGCATTTATATTTTTTTTAGCTTCTGCGTGAGCCATATAAAGAATTTGTTTTAGCTGGAGTAGGCAGCGCGAAGTAATGGATGATCTCTAGCACATCCCCCCCCCCCCCCCCCCCCCCTCCTTTCACGTTCTGTAAGGGAGATTAGCCAGTGTAGTACATCTGCTGCTTTGGGGTTTCTAACATTTTCAGTCCAAGGGTGCCAGAAGCTATGAGCCAGTTCATCACTGCGAGAGTATCACGTGACCTTCTGGTTGGGCTGAGCGACACGTGAAGCTTTAGATCACATGACATTCTATCAACGCTGGATTAGCTTGGATTGCTTGTAGGATCCGCTAGGCTCGAACTATAAGTAAATGGAGTCTAGTGATGTATACCGCTACGATGCTTCCGCACATCGAAACAAGCATGGGTGGAGATAAAATCTAGGATCCCTGGGTTGTGCAGCGCGAACTTTCGCTCCATGTGTACTAGCTGCGACGTGTTAGCACACTGAGCCAACTTATGCCAGCGCATAGCAATGGGGTAGCTGGACGTCCTGCTTGCAGTGTCAAAACTGCTGACGTGAGCACATGAAACTTGTGATGAGGCCATGCGCTCGCACCAGTAGCTTGGATAGTGTTTCATACTAAACTTTTTACAATCACACATAGACATTGAGGCACTCTAGTCACACACAGAGTGCCTCCATACCAAGCGCTGGTGGAGTGTGATGACATCTCAGCCATTTTCTTCCCGGTCATTTTCTATGTTCTTAGAAAGTGCACGGACCCCGACGTCTCCAGGCGTGAGTGCTCAGCTTTGGCCAGAGCTTTGAAGCCATCTCCTTACTCAAGGTTTATTTATATGTTTTCTTCGGCGCGCGTCGGCGGCACTTTGTAAACAATGGATGTTTCCATTCTGTCACAAACAGACATCGAGTCACACATAAGTCACACATTCAGCGCAGCGCTACCTGAGTGCTGAGTCGGCATTACAAACCCGGGTACCCCTGCTTCATATGAAGCGTAAAATGTTAAAAACCCATTCAGAGAGCAATTTCGAACACGAGATATAACACACGAATGTGGCGGTGGCTCGCGGTCGCAGCAGCACTGAGCTAGCGTCGCGCTCTACTTGTGAAAATGCCCTAAGAACTGCCACGTCTCTGTTCGGAAAAGGCCAGGATTACCTTTCCACGCATAGCACACGCGCTTGCACGCGTAGTAAACCGAAGGTGCGTTTTATTTTCGATACACTCTGGTTGTGGGACTGCATGGCCACATACGATCATTCTAAAATCAATGTAATGTCATATGGCACAAGCAAGTTCGGGATTCACATTCAGAGTATCTCCATGCCTGGCATTTCACTTTTTTGTATGATCTTGCGCGAGCTGCCTGCACAATACATTCTCTAACACATAACTCGCACAAATGCTCTCCAAGCTCTCCTATGGTTACTATTCGTGACGTCACGAAGATAATTCCTTGTTCTCATTGCCCACTCAACACGACACCGTCAAAGTGCGCATCCAAATACTCTTATTTCTGTCGATGATGCTCTGATCGAATTTGTGGCCAAGATCAAATTGAAGACTGGAGGTAATTGCTTTCGGGCACCCTGCCTGCAGGTGTTGAGACTTTAGGCATCATAATCGCTAAATCTGTGGAAATTGAGTTTAAATTTCACTAATAAGATTGCAGCGACCCTTTTGGTTGTGCATGGCTTTTTTGCTTCCGATATATTCAAAATGGCAGAGCTAATCGAAATGTCGAACTCGCTTCCGTCTCTTGTAAGTTATAAGTAATCATAACCATGTTTTTTTTATCTTTCTTTAGTGGTCTTTTAATGGCTGCAAACAAAACGTCCGACTCAAATGAAATTCCTTTTTTTTTACTTGTCCAAGTGGTTTTTAAGTGCTAGGCAGTGCCATAACTACAACGACATAAATGTAATTGTTCGTCCTCTTCTGAAACTTCCTTTTTCGGAGGGGAGGGGAGGGGAGGGGGGGGGGGGGGAATGGACATAGTCGATATAGAGTTACATGTCTCATTCGAAACATAGTTTTTTCGGTGCCATTTTTAGTCAAAGTCACTTTCTTGGTATTCTCGAATGATATAATGCCCACTGTTCACTCAGGTGGTCCAAGTGCCCTCCTGTCAGTGGAGGGCACTTCCAGAGGGCGATCGCTCATATTTGAAGTACAGGACAACCGTTGCATAAACAAAATGGATATCTGTAATTGAAATCTGAAACTTCATGTTTTATTTTATTTTTAATACAGTCAAACCCGTTTATAATAAACAGCAGGAAACGCTACGATCAGTTCAATATAGCAAAAACCATTTACAACGAACTTCCACAATGAGTTCGTTGTAAGGCGAGAGCTTCCCTTTCTAGTCTCTTCACTTCCGCCTTGTAACCCGCTAGGAAGTTTTTTGTTTTCTTTTTTCTTGCATACGTGCAGGTTTTTTTTTTTAATAAAGCTTTGGTTGGGGCTAATTGGTTCATATCGATTAAAAGGTTAAAAGGCGCGAACAAACAGGACGAAAAAAGACACACGCACGACACGGACAGGTGCCAGTCCGTGTCATACATGTGTCTTTCTATTATTTCAATACATCGCTTCTCGTCGTGGGCAAACGCTTTGGGGTGAAAAGCCTTTTTTTTTTTTTTGTGCGTTTGTGCAGAGTGTATTTTTTTAGCTTTCTCCCCTTCTGAATCGTTTCTTTTCACTCAATTTTGTTCACACTTGAGCTTTTGGAATTTTCTTCCTTTCCTACTTCTTTTTTGGGGGGAGGGAGACACTAGAAGACAATTGTTTGCGCGCTTTTGAAAGCCTTCCCGGGGGGAAAAGTTTGATATAGCTAGGGTGAGTACTTTCCGGTGTTTATTTGTGAGAAAAATCGGCGGATGTTTTTCGGAGTTTATTTTTTTTCAAAGCACCGGTGTATTTCGGTGGAACGTCTCACGACGAGGCTAAAATCGATGAATATCGGTGAAAAAAAGCGATTGATCACAGACAGAGAATTCCAATTTTATTCACATAGTTCATACACTTCTTCTCTAGGAAGCAACTATTTCTCACACTTGGTTATAATAGTAGATGCAAGCAAACTTTCATGCTTGCATCTTCATGCAAGGAACGTGCTGCCGTTATGGCAGCACGTTCCTTGCGGTTCGCAACCCGCAATTATGAAAACGCACGCTCCTGTACGACACGGACGTTGGCAGTGTCTTCCAGGA